AATCCACTTAGCACCTAAAAGAGTTCTTGTTGAGCTGTCAACTTGCGCTTTTATAAACATCGAGACTTCGCCACCATACGGAAACAGGTAAAAAGAAAACGCACAGTTGAATTATAAAGCTGATATCTAGGCCCCATTATGAACACAAACAGATAAGGTTACGGTAGTAGCAAGTGATGTAGTATCACCGAGGGTGATTTATAAGCTTCAAATCTTCAGGCACACCGGCAAATTCGGAACCACTTAACGCGGACTGAAACTGGTCTTAACGAATGTGATGTTGATGAGTAACACAAATGTCTGGAAGTGAAAACGGAAGAAAAAATTAAAGCAAGGAGAAATAATGTCTTAAGTTAGGCACAATAATATTTTTTGATTAGAGCTCTCTGATAAATTAGACAGCTCAAATATAGTAACATAGAAATATACATGGCATTCTTATGAAACAGGTTTCAAAGTCGTTTTGAAGTTACACTCCAAGTAAAATGACATTGAATGGCAAATCTAGATTGCAAATCGATAGCTCGAATGAGCACTCAACGTCCGCATTTACGGCCAGTGCGCGAAACGCAATTTTCCAACGGCGCCAGTGAATTAATATTCGATTTTCAGCATTGTTTCTTCAAATACATGACTGCGAGGCCTTGTTGACTATTATTTTTGCGGCTGAGGCTTGTTGGGTTGAACGAGAGACTTGCTCTTGAAGAAAGGCTCTTTTGAAAGCGTTGAGAGCGCAGTCACGTGCACTGTGACCTTTAATGCAATCAACGAGAAAATTCAACTCATAAAAAAGTTGTATTCTTCTTTCTTTTCATCTTTGCCCTCTCTTTCTCCTTCTCCACCTCCTTCTGCTAGGTGAACCTCTTTGGGAAATCTGGGATGGGGCTCTGCTGTCCTGTCCTTAGGGGGGGGGACATTGAAGTGAGTGGGGCCACAGTAAGCCTTAGGGATGAGAAAGGATTCTGGGAGAAGATGTGAGAAACCATTGTTTTTCCTGGTGTTTATTCCCAGTCCTGGACTTAGTCCTAGTGTCACCTACCGGTTTGAATGCCCTGTTTTGA